ATGATGATTGAATCTTGATGAATATTCTGATTAAAAATGATAATTGTGAATGATTAAATCATAATGAATATATTGATGATTGTGAAAATAAAATGTATTGTTAAGGGTATCTAGAAGACCTCTAAGATATACCCATATTAATGTTGATTTGAAAGGTATCTAGAAGACCTCTAAGATATACCTATTTAAGTTAGGCCTTGCGGGTATGAACCCCGGTGGCTAGGGTTAAAACGTACGTACGGGATCCAAGAACCAAACTTGAGTACCTACTCGTTTGGGGGTACCACCCACCCAACAGTGAACACTACGCTGTCGGTTTTTGGTTGGCCTTAAGTGAAGGTAAGTTTAAGATTTTCAAAACCCTTTTATCTTAAACTAGGCCTAGCTTAAGGATTATTTAGGAATATTTTATACTGGAATATAGTTTAATTATTTAAACTAGAATTCGTTTAAGGGTTGACAAATATTAAAGTGATTGGCCTTAGACTAAGAATAGTTTAAGGATATTGTTGAATGTTGAATATTGAATATTGAATATTGAATATGAGTAAATATTGAATGATGAATATTGAATTGAATATTGCAATTATTATGAATGACTGATGAACATTGAATGTGAATATAAATGTTGAATAATGCATGATGAATAATTTTTAATAATTATTGATTATCTGAACTGAAGATTATGTGCATGATATCAAATGATTTGATTATGAATTTAGATTCAGTTTATATGGATGTTCGATGCATTAGATATGCTTACTCAGCTTCAACGCTGAGCGTGTAGTATGTTTTATTTGCTACACGCAGGTTAATGAAGTGACGTGATCCTGGAGGCAGAAGGAGGCGAGATTGTCGGAATGGATGTGATGGTTTTGAATTAAAGAACATAAATAAATTATGTTTGTGATTATGATTGTTAAGCTTCCGCAATATTGAAAACTTCGTACTGTTTATATTATGAAAAATATTATTGTGATACATAAAAGTGTTTGAAATGTTTTAAATTTTTAAGATTACCAAGTTAATACTTTAATCTGAAAGGGGCTGCAGACCTGGACAGATTAGGGTGTTACATGGGGTCTGTGAGGGGAGAGGAAATGCATCACAACAAAGATATGGAGCACAATGAAACTGTGATTGGTGTAGAGGGTGATGAAGTTTGTCATGACCTGGGTGTGAACCTCCAGGTAACACAACTTTCTGTACAAATTGCACATATATATAAATGTAGTGCACATATTCATGATATAAATGTTGTTTGCTTTTATAATAGATTGAAATGATGGTTGAGGAGGGAAGGTGTGTAGAAGATCCTGTGATGAAAAGGAAAAAAGATGAGGTAATTGAATAGGTGCTTAAATTAAGTACATAATATGATACGCCAAATTGATTAATATTCGTTGGACAGGTTGAGCAAGACGAAAACTGCTTTGACGTTGAAGTCACCATACCTAACACGGGTGGTAGATCCAAGAGATAATGCTAACACATCGGAAAGAAATATTTGGAAGTGGGTTGTGAGGAATAAAGATGAAGACAGGTTCGTGCTTTATATCATGTTAAAGTAACATATTTTCATGAAATTAAAGTTGTCATTCTTGAATTTGGTACTGTATAATTTATGCAGGGAGGAGGTTGTGTTCAATGGGTATAATATTTTGGTTGAGCGTGGACATTTGTTGACGTTCGAAAGTGGCCATCACATATCTCCACGGGTAGTTGATGCTTGGTCTTGCATATTGAATCACAAGGAGATGTTTCGTAGCGTTGCGTCTCCAGCCCGGTTTTTTGCAAAAACAATTAACTGTGTAAGTTAGTGTCTAGTAATATACTTAAATACTCTTTTGATTTTGTTTATTTATATATATTACTCTATAATCGCAGATGTTCATGAGTGAGGGGGAGGTGGAGAAAGATGTGGATGCTTATAAAGTGGTTTCTGATGCTCTGGATTATGGGTGGAGCTTAACCAATCCATGCAATGCTGATATGGTGAGTTTATTGATGCCTGATTCAGATTTATTCATGGGTTGTTGTTATGTTTATTTATACGATATGCATATAGTGTTGCAATGCATGATATATTGTGAACTGTGCAGATAATTTTTCCAGTAATGCAACATCGTTGGTGTTATTGCATATGTGTGAACCTGAAAGTGAATAGGGTTGATATCCTTGACAGCTCATCGGCTGGTGTGGCAAAGATTGATAAGTATGATGAAATGCCAAACGTTGTGGTAAGTTCTAATTACTAGCGCATGGACCATATTTTTTTATGCGTAAAAAGGGAACATATTTTTTTATGCGTAAAAAGGGAACATATATATGAAATAAGAGAAATGGAAAAGACGGATGAGAAGATACGTATTTCAACAATCTAATGTTTTATCATTCTTTTTATTGCAGCGAAACATGGTTGTTAAGTATTTTGAAAATAAAGGTATGGATGGCCGGGTGGAAAAGGTGAAGGCACAACTGCCAAAACGATTACAACTGCCGTGGAGGGATTCGACTGCCATATTTGATTGTGGTGTGATCACAATGCGCCATATGGAGACGTACACGGGGCAGACATTGAAGCGGTGGGACTGTGGTTTGAAAAAGGGGGATGGAAAGGCGGTGAATGCACTTAGGACAAAGTACTGTGCTGCAATAGTCGAATCAGATGTGAACGGGGTTAGGGAGAAGATTAGGCAGTTGGTGAAGCACAATACTGGATGAAGACTGCATGCTTGGATGAGAAATTAATGTTTTAATGAGTGACTTGGCATGGGGATTATGATCTGTTTGTTTTATGTTTTTAGGACTTGCATTTGGGTGACATTTTGATGTTTTTGGTTTGGTGCATAGCCCCTGAATGAGTCCATCACTGGCTTGTTCATTTTGCTAGATGGGGTTGAATTATTGCTCAAAATGAGCGTAGTTAGTAATATCTTTTATTATTTAAAAAGAATTCTTGTTTAAAAATTATGGGCCGTTAGTGATGTTTAGTCAACATTTATTTTGCAAAAGTAATTAGGTAATACCTGGCAAGTTTATGAAAGTCATTGATTAGCGTAATCAGCGATTGAATAATATTTCCATATGTGTGTTGATTGTGGTATTAAACGTGAATGCACGGTGCTCTTGCATTGGTGTACGTTTATGCGTATTTTAGTGCAGTACTATTGAGTTATTTTTCGAGTGTTTGAGGGAGCATTTGATTAAGGAGAAGGTAAATAACTTCTTGCAGGGTAAATAGTGTTTTGGTGCGGTTTGGAGGTGTTTGAATGCAACGTAAGAGTTCTTTATAGAGATGTGGTGTTGTTGAAAGTTGTGATTTCGGACAATGGTTAAACGAGATTCTGGACACATTTGGTTAATAAATGAAAATAGGAAGAACGAATGGGTGACGCTTTTTAACACTCATAATCCCACGTTATTTTACGAGTATCCAAAGTTTATATAAAAGTAACTATTAAGGCGTTTCATTCGTGTTTCCTGTAAGGTGAAGTGTGTGAGGCAATGTTGGAACATAAGTCTAACTTTTGATGATGTGGAGATACGTACAATGCATGAATTGATGAATAAATTATTTCATTGGTAATCAAAATTGGAGTAATATACAAGTAATGGGAAAAAATTAAAGGAGAGGGGGGGCCCTTATATGGGACACATGAGTCCATCTTGCGCTAAAAAGATTCAACAAAAAAATATTAAATGTTTGTAGGAAAAAAGTAATATTATGTCAAAGTATTCATCGGACAATTTCTACTATCGTGATAGGCTAGCTCTTTGCAAGTTCGACACAAGCGTTTGTTCTTCTTGCTTTGTTCAATCTGGAGCTCTTTAGCACTCTTGATGCGCTTACCACTACCCTTGTTATGAGCTGGTTGAGGTGGAAGCACTTTAATCACTGATGGAGCGGGAACACCACAGTAATTTTCAAAGAGGTTAGGTTCTCCATTACCTTGGAGAAAGCACATAATAACTCGGGGTTATTTTCAATGAGTGCAACACAAGAGTGAATGTTAGACCATAGACGGTTGAGCATTAATTTGTTTTTCGTCAACGGATGATTCCGAGGTAAAGTCCAAGCCAGAAACATCGATCAGTGGCTTCAGGAGTGGTGTTTTGCACCATCTATTGGTAATATAACGTTCTGGGATCAGTTTGATTCTCAGTCCCTTGAACACCAAGAATATGTGACAGCACAGCAGACCAATGCGCTGCCAATATTTACATGTGCAGAAGAAAGAGCTTTCTAAGGTTGAATGTTCAACGTTAACAACCATATCTCGGGAATCCTGCACAACAAATGTTAACGTATGCTCCTTCTTGTCCACCTGTAGCACGCTGCACGAGAAGCATGATGCACATATCTCTGTTTGTACGTCGTAGAAGATGCTCAGAGTGTAGATGGATGCTGCATGTTTCTCAATTGCAAGCGGTGTTTTATAAACAGGGGCGCATGCTTCTGAATCTGCATCCAAGTCTGCAGTTTTAAGTCGTTGGGAGTCCATAGCACTTTCAAATTGCATATAGAACTCGACAAGAGTGAAGAAGGTATTTTTGAAATCACCAAAAAAGCTATTCTCGCTCTCAGAACGTGATGTTGTGCGTAGTAAACCAATCATGAACAAATCCCTAAAGTATGCGGGAATCTAGCTTTTACGAATAGCAAAAAGATTGCAAAACCATGAATTAGAATCCAGCTCATAATCAACTAATACCTCATGCCATTGTTTTTCCCAGTCTTCAGGCTCGAGGTAATGACTCCATATTACAGAGTTTAACCTTGTCAAAAAGTCCTGATCTTTTGCAAGTTCATTTTCAACTTTGGACGTAATTTTGTTGGTAATATGCCACATACAGAGACGATGGACTGTGTTTGGGAAAACCTCTGGAATAGCAATAGCCATAGAAGTGTCTTGGTCCGTGATTATGCATTGCGGTGCATGACCCATTGCATCAAGAAACCGATTGAACAACCATCTGTACGAAGGAACATCTTCTCTGCGCAGCAGACCAGCTGCAAAGGTTACACATCTGCGGTGATTATCTACACCAGTAAATGGTGTAAAAACCATTTTGTACCTGCACCACAAGAAACACACCCAGAACCAAACTAGTTCAAACCCTGAAAACATGTTTATAAAGCTAGAAATAATACTTAAGCAGTGCATCAAAGGCATAACGTGCTGCATTAAAAGAATATACCTATTTGTGTTGAAGGTTGCATCAAATGAAATGACATCTCCAAACATTGCGTAGTTCTTCTTAGCAATAGGATCGCACCAGAATACCCTAGTTAGCTGGTCACTCTCATCAACATCATAGTCAAAATGGAATGCTGAGCATGTTTGTTTCTTTCTGAATAGTTTGTCAATGAGCATTTGAGCATCAGCGCCTGCAATATATGCCTTTAAGTCTCGTTTGAAATTTTTGAAGTCAATTGCAGTGGCACCCACATTATTAAAGCCACCAACTGATTCCTTAAACAATCGGTAGGACTTCATAGGGCCAATGCTCGCCTTTGCACAATTCAACATAAACTTCTTGTGGCCAATTTCTAGATTTCTGTTGATTTTCAAAAAGGGCCTAGATTGAAGGGACATCATGGGATGTTTATGACTTTCAATGAATGATGATATGGAGTAGCCTACACCACCCGTGAGCCTAAACGCCACACGCGCCTTGCAATCAACACGATTGGAAATGCGTCTCCTTTGTTTTGCCTTGGGCAAGTCTCCATCGTCGTGAGTGGGTTTGTTGCAGGTTGATGCAAAATGCTTATGACCTTCGCGGTTGCATACAACGTACCGCCACACAACAACACCCGAAACCTTCAAATTGGTGCTTTTACGAATGTCAAAACCTGCCAATGCAGCATATTGCTTGTAAAAATTAAATCTGTCCTCTAAGGATTGGAATACCATTCCCACATTGGGCTTGGCCTCTTCAGGGCAGGCAGGAATAAATAAGTTGGATGAAGTCGAAATAATTTCTGTTGCATGTGTCGGGCCTTCGCTTGAAGTCATAGGTGTGTACCCTGGCCATAATCGATGGAGGAAGGTTAGCTAAATGCATTACGTAATTATAATTATGTAATATAGGATTAAAAAAAGCGAACTAGAGGACATATGTATGAATAAATAAACACAGAAGGTGAGAAATGACATGAAGCGTAATTTCATGAAAGTGGCCGCAATTGACGAACAACAAAGAGAAAAGAGAACCAGCAAAAGACGAAATGTAGTCCACCAAAAAATAGTTACAGACATTACCAATACCTTTTTGAAGCATTGTTGAATTGGGTAAGCATGATCAGTCGTGGGGGGTCATTTTGATGCAGTAAGCATGGTCAGACGATGGGGGTCATTTAATGCAGTATGCAGACATGATGATGCAATACAAAATGCATAAAGAAATAAAAGATAACCCTTTTTAGACATAATGCATACAAAAATATATGGGTGCAGTGTTTCATGAAGCTGTACTTAGTTTAACCAGCAACCTTTGAAACGATAACCCCATTAAGAAAAATTCTAAATCCCAAAGAAATTTCTAAGTAATTTCACAATGAATGTAAGCGCATGCATGGATCTAACGAACTAGAGAGGCTAGTGAAATTTACATACCATGGTTACGTAATTGTAGACAAAAAGAATCACAAAAAACACAAACCTGGAACCATGATAAAAGATCGAGCAGCAAAGCCACTCCCAATTACGGCCGAATTGGAGGTTAGCAAGAGTTTGGTAAATAAGGGTATTCATATCTCTAGAAAGGTTAGAGAGAAAATGGGGAAAGTGAATCAGATCGTGCGCGAGAAATCAGGGATGAGAATGCCTCGCGATGGTTTGCGTTTGAAGGAAGTGCCGTAAAGACTTCTATGCCCTGGCGATAAGATTGAAAACTCATCAGATCGGACGGTTTATAAGTACTCTTATTTCTTTCATTAGATCTCTTTCTCACCGGAACCAAACTATATATATATATATATATATATATATATATATATATATATATATATATATATATATATATATATATATATATATATATATATATATATATATATATATCTGTGTGTGTGTGTCTCTCTCTCTCTCTCTTTATATACTCCCTCCGCCATTAATTAAATTCCCGGTTTGACCAAGAACGCATATTAATGCATGATAAAAATTGTATTGACTTTCCTAATTTACCCTTAGAAAAATGCTAGGAGTACACCAAAGGTGTACCTCATTTGTCCCCCACCCCTCCATCACCACAAAAAAAGGCAAGAAAATAAAAAAATATTAAACAAATAAAAATAAACAAAATTGTATGGTGGAGAAATGGGTAGGGGACAAATGGGTGTACCCCTAGCATTCCTCTTACCCTTAACATGTCTACTACCCCTAATGCTTCTCCACTAAGGTGAGTCATCATCTCTCACTGTCAAAGCTACCGCCGATGACTCCCCTGCAGCGCCGACAACGATTCTCCGGCATTGCCGCCGCTGACTCTCCGGAACCATCGCAGATGACCTCTCTTGCACTTGTAGCCACCATCACCTCCACAATCCCCACCCAAGTAAATCTGTTCTAGATCTTCTCATGGAAGACAACACATCGGTAAAAGAATAGATGCAAGGTTTTAATGGCGGAAAAAGAGCAGATCTAAGGTTTTGACTGAGGCGGAAGAAAAGATTTTGCAAATCGAACATGGTAGCATCAGAGGATTTGTAGATCTATACCATCACTGCCAGCAATGTTGAAAGAGGAGCGGATCTTACCGCCGGCTCGCTGCTCCACCATTAATTTTGATCGCCGCCTCGCTCGCAATCAATGGGTGGTAGGCCAAAATCAAAAGGGAAAAGAAGAAAAGATAAAAGAAGGTGAAGAAGAAGAAAAAAGAAGAAGATGATGACGATAGAAGAAAAGAAAGAGGAGGAAGAAGAAAAGAAAGAAGAAGATGACGATGATTGGTGGAGAGAAGAAGAAAGATGGAGAAGATAAGGATTGGGTGGTGGAGCTGGATAGACTTGCCGAGAATGAAGAAGAATAGGGGAGGGTAAAAAAGTCATTTGATATAAAAAAACTTGCCAAAAGAAGTAATGGGAAGATAATTTGTGGACGGACGAAAAAGGAAAGTGGGAAGTTTATTTATAGACGGAGGGAGTATGTATATATGTGTGCGTGTGTGTGTGTGTGTGTAGAAGGACCAAACTAGAAGTAAAACATATGACATATCCTCAAAGTAGAAGTTCAAACATAAACTCCTCTAAATAGGAGTAACTAACTTAATTAATTAGAATTCTCATGCACTCTCTCCCTTCGCATTGATCTTTTTCAATATTAGAAACACCAATTCACTCAACTATCTATCTCTCTCCATCAATTGCTTAGAACACTCTAATAATGCATCTTAAACTCTTCCATGAGACCATAATGATCTAACTAGAAGCTCCAACACATGACCATGTGGAGTGTAGATGCTGCCTTGCTTTACGAAGTAATTCTACAAGCTTAGGCCCAAATCAATCTTATGATTTTTATAGGAAATCCTTGTCAACATAGAGCAAAATAGGAGTAAAAAATTAATAATACATACAAATAGGAATTGAAAAGATAAATCTCCAAAATAGGAGTGATATTCATTTTGTAGAAATTCTAATATAAAAAAATATACTCAATTCTTTAAAAAGGCAGCAGACATGCTTCCTCTCCTCTCTTATATTAGATTCGCAACACTATCGTCGCATATATCAACAGCCGTCGCGCGAGAAGCTCGCCGTCATTGCCAAGCAGCCGGTGTTGAGGAAGAACGTTTGCTGGCCGGAGTAGCCTATTCGCTGATGCCCTAGTTCACAGCCCCCTCTCCCTGCCACCATAATGTCACATTAATTATCCACAGTGTCAAACAAAATAGTATAATGCCAAACATGACAATACATAATGTCAAACATGACAATGTATAATGTCATACATGGCAATGCATAATAATAAACATGACAATGTATAATGTGAAAATTTAGATTTAAACAATAAAAAAACCAGAGCCCAAAATAACTTAAACAATCGAGAGCACAACCACAACCCCAAATATCTACTAAAATAATTCTTGACAAAGCAACTTAAAAAACTTTCAAAGAGCATATAAAGTTCATTTACCAATACCTTACATATAGAAACTCAATAAATTGCTCATTAAAATGTCCATACAGTGTCAAAAAGGACCACATGTAACACCATGTGTAATCGCATAATGGCAATCATGCTAGTGTATAAAGTCATACATGTGAATGTATAATATTAAACAAATAGATAATGCCAACTATGACAATGTATAATGCCATATCTAGCAGTGTATTATTACAAATATGTCAATCTATAATGTTACATATCACAAATGTTAATACATAATGTTAAAAAGAGTTAGATGTCAAGAAATTCTAGATTTTCCAACACCATAATCGTTCAGTTTCAATACCAATTTTACAAAATAATTCCTTAAGAAGTAAATTAAGATTTAAAATTGAATGTCACCCCTTATGTCAAATTGAATATATAATTGAACTCAACCTTAATTACGAAAGGCGCAAAGAATTAGTAAAAATTTTAAAAAATAATGCCCGAAGAAGTAAATTTTCAGATTTAAAATTGAATGTACCACTTATGTAAAATTGAATATAAAATTGAATTCAAACTTACTCCAACCGGCAGAAGCATCATCACTCGGAGGCTAGGCGACGAAAATGGTGGATGGGTGGAAGGAGTTCGCCTGTATAAGAAAAAGGAAGATGTGACGGAGTGGGGTGGAATCATTGTTGCGCGGAGGCGAAGGTGGGGGTGGAGAGGGGCTTGAGATTGGGATGACGGCATGGTGCAGATTAAGAACGAGATCAGGACCAGAGAGGGGGCAATAGATTCAATCCTAAAGGGGAATATGTGGTTTGTGCGGCCAGGAGTAAATGAAAACATAATTTAATTAATTACTCCTATTTTGAGGAGTTTAAGTTTGAGCTCCTATTTTGAGGATATGATATATGTTTTACTCCTATTTAGGGGGTTTTCTTTTATATATATATATATATATATATATATATATATATATATATATATATATATATATATATATACTCTCTCCGTCCCAAAAAACACTTCTTATTTCTATTAAAAAGTCACTTTTACCCCTTACTTTTTCATACCCTACCTATCACATCATACATTTTTATTAATAATCTATCTATCAAATCATACTTTTACCCATTACATCAAAGGACATTTTTGAAAATTTAATACCAAAATACACTCTCTTAAATCCCTTTTCAAAATCAAAACTCTCATGTTTTTCGGGACGGAGGGAGTATGATGGTAATGGTTAAAGTGTGGTATCGAAAAGGGTAAAATATCAAATAAAAAGAAGGCTGAATTATATTCTATTGTTGGGTTTTTAAGTTATTGTGTAATGTACGATTAGTTCTTCAACTTTGAAAATTCTACAAACAAGTCATGTTAGCGTCGTATGGTTTGTCCTTTCGTTAATTTTGACGTTAGTCCATGTAAAGAGAAGGTCCTTTACATTATTAATAATGAATAATGGAAAAATACATGAACTAACGGAAAAATTTATGGAATGACATCCTAACGCGACTTGAACAACTATTCGCAGTTGACGAAGGATTAACTCTGCATTATGCAATAATGTGAAAGACCAAGGGAAAAAGACTATAGTATGAATAAAACATTGAAAATATACCAAAATAGGAGTTACATGTTTTTATTCCCGAAATAGGAGTTAAAATGTTTTTACATTACTGACCGTGACCATGTACATTATCAAAAAATATACTCCCTCCGTCCCGGAAAACATGGGAGTTTTGATTTTGAAGAGGGATTTAAGGGGAGTGTATTTTGGTATTGAATTTCCAAAAATGTCCTTTGATGTGATGGGTAAAAGTATGATTTGATGGATCGATTATTAGTAAAAAGGTATGATGTGATATGTAGGGTATGAAAAAGTAAGGGGTAAAAGTGACTTTTTAATAGAAATGAGAAGTGTTTTTTGGGACGGATGAAAAAAGAAAGGAGAAAGGTTTTCAGGGACGGAGGGAGTAGTAAAATGTACTTATACAGTGCCACATTACCACAGTGAATAAAAACATAAAACTTCTATTTTGGGAATAAAAATATAGAACTTCTATTTTGGTACTTTTCTCTATGTTTTACTACTATTTATAAGAGTGATTTATTAAAGACCAACTCTCGAATTTAGCCTAAAAAGAAATGTATAAGATAAAAGGAGTAATTCATGACAAATTCTTACGCGATCCTCAGACTCACACTCATATTAGAGACCTTGCCACCTTGGTGTATATATGGACACTATGAAAAAAAATTGACATTTTATAAAAAAGAAATTTTTTTTATCAACCCCTAAAAAATATGAGATCTTTATTTTACATATAAAAATGCAAAATCACACCTCGTAATTTATTTGGATTTGGATATTATCTACCGTATTTGTGTTAGCAATGATGAATAAAAATGCATAACATGTCTCTCTAAAAAGAATATTTAATTTTTGAGTAATTGAAGGAATTTAATTTTTCCTCAACTTAATTAAAGGAGTTTGCACGCAACTCAACTACGTACTGTTAAGGATAATACTTAGTCAAATCTTCTTTTGAATATTCAAATGATTGTTGCAGTGTTATCCCTTCTGTTTAGCATTAGAATAGGTCATTTCCATATGTATAGCAGTGGCACCCATATTTGTAGGAGAGGTGGGTTGCAGCTTACTGTATAAAATCTTCTTCTCATGTTAATAGAAAACATCATTCAAGCTTACATTTATATGGTATCGGAGCTTTCTCTTTAAACAGATTTTTTTTCCCCTGGTGCGCTTGAGACGAAACATCATCAACCGGGCTCTCTTTGCTTCACACTGCTGGTCTTCCACTCTCCTTTTGGTCCTATGCTTTTCATACAACTATTTATCTTATTAATCGTCTACCCACTCCCATATTATCTCACCGCTCCCCTCATGAGACACTATTTTCCAAACCTCCCGATTATAGTAAATTAAAACCGTTTGGGTGTCTATGTTACCCATGGCTCCGACCTTATCACTCCACCAAGTTATCTCCCCGCTCTACCCCATGTCTCTTTCTTGGGTACTGCAACTCTCAATCTGCGTATAAGTGTTTTGACTATACAGGGGGAAAATCTATATCTCTCGGCATGTCAAATTTTATCCACATATATTTCCGTATGCCACTGTCTCTTCTTCAGTCCCCTCTCGCCCAGCCTCTCACCCTACGCCTATGCCCATGTTGCCTTCTTCATCCACAAAGCCATGCACTGCCCCATCCTTATCTCATAATACTCCCTCTCTTCCCATGCAAAATCCACCCATTCTTATTTCCCATATACCTCTCATGTCTCATGCAAACCCAACTCCAGCATATCACACGCCCACTTCTCTGACCATTCCAGTACCCACGCCTGCTACACCTCATTCCAGTCCAGTGTCAACCTCTTCATCTTCCGTGTCTCCGTCTCTCTCCCCATCAAATGTTTCTCTTGTCCCGCATCGACCGGTTCGTGAGCGACGGTTAAATTCTCGTTACTTTAACGATCATCTTGTTAACCATGTTTCATCTGTTGCAGTGGATACTCCGCTCACTTATATGCAGGCACGTCGGGATGCAAACTGG